ACTTATGTTCATAATAGCAATAAGTGGCCGAAAGGCAGGGGACACCATGGATGAGGTTCCAGTTCATCACTAGGCACATCCTCAAACATGCAGATACACTGTAAAAAATGAAACATTGGATCAACTTAAAAAATTACTTCATTTTTTCACACTTAATTTTTTCAAGTAAGTTCAACTTAAAATAGTCAATCTAATACATTAGATTTTTTTCACTTAGCTAAGTGAAAAAAATCTAATGTATTAGATTGACTATTTTAAGTTGAACTGACTTGAAAAAATTGTATTAACCCAACTTGAAAAAATTAAGTGTGAAAAAATGAAGTAATTTTTTAAGTTGATCCAATGTTTCATTTTTTACAGTGCAGTATGAAATGGGATGGGATTTTGTGGATTGGGGTGAAGAAATAGCCATTCTAGGACGGCTGAATGGGAGGGGGAAAAAAAGTTGGATATTAGCGGTGAGCGAATGAAGGTGCAGCCACTAATAGCTATTTGCGCAGAAGATCTGTTATTTTTGTGGGTAATTATGACACCTTTCTGCACTCTGCGAAAAACAATCACCTAATTACAATATAATCCCGTCCACACAAACACTACTTTAAAACATTTGTGCCCACATAAAACGCAAAAAATGGCTGTCCACAGCATGTTAAACCAGCTTCTGATAATGTTCACCCTGGATCGAGTTTTGCAAAAACTCCGTTTCAATGAACTGAAACTCCAGTTTACGTGTGGATGAAAGACCAAAAGGTTAAGAAAAAGCAACGTCTTTTAAACATCCGTGTACGTGTTGAAAAATCCTTTTCCCTGTTTCTCTATACGCGACACAGAACTGTTTTCTTAACAACTAACTCAAAAATCGCACCTTGTACCCTTGCTGTGGTTCTTGACATTAATTCAAAAGGAACTAGTACTTAATATGGCTAGCTAACACAAAATAATATCTATATATTAATACTAATATTCACATTGAGCATTTCCCAATAAACGGCTAATGACGACCAATCTATGTAAAATAAACTTGCTAGGTAGATGTTCTACATGTTCTACATAACTATGTTCTACCCAATACTAACTTTAAAACGTCAACATGCAATCATGTTCTCGACTAAGATATAAGAACAAAAAATTACATTTACAGGTTCCATTTTTCATTCTTACCTGAGGACAGCATTTAAAGTAACGGCAGGCTTTGTGGCGGTTATTCTCGGAGACGTGCACAGGACTTGCGCATGCGCGACCCAAGCACACAAGCAATTTTAAGCTTTGACCCAATGGATCATTCGGCTTTAGTGATGCAGTTTATCTAATTGAGTCTGTTCAGCTAAAAAACTTAAGTTGAACACATGACAGAAAATAATACATCAACCCTACATGAAAATTTTAGGTCAAACCAGCTACACCCTTGTGACACTTTTTTCAGTGTACGCACTACGGGCAATATGGGATTCAGACTGACCTGAAATGCATATTAAGGTTGTGGGAGGATACCAGAATGCAGGGATCGAAAACCCATGCTGGTGCAGACCTGGACTTCCCTGGCAAAATATTGGCAAAATAATGGAATTTTAATCTCTGTGTATTCATTTTACTTTAAGATTAAACGTGTAATCTATCTTACTAATTGGACAACACCACATTGCTTCATAGCAGTTACTTTCACCAACAAATACTTTAATGTTCCCTTTAGATCAGGATAAATAGAGCCCATAGATGCCCAGTAACGACATACTTCACTGGAAGACTATGTAGGTTTCATATATGCTTTTCCAAAATGGAGGATAGACAAAATCTTATTGGTGAATATGCTCCGATTACATGTTTTCGAAGCCTAAATGGACGCTGTGCTTCACTGGGACTCTAAGAGAGCTTCGTACACAGTTTTTTGGCTTGGCAACATTGATTGGACAGCTTGCAGTCAGGTATTTAGACTCGCCTGGAAGCCAGGCTTCCCTGCATGGTGATTGGGAGACGTCTCAACAAGACAGGATGAACTACCAATAACATTAATGCTCGTCAGGTTTCACATGCTGTCGGCGATGTTGGCTCACAGTATTCATTCACTCTGTCACATGCGGGGGCACAGAAACATTTTAAAGCAACTTAGAGTGGAAGTTTATCATTTCGTATGTCATTGTTCACTATTGACATTTGTAAATATTGTACATAAAGTTATCATTAAGTTTTGAGTTTGTTTAATTTTCATCCCCAGTAATTTTAGCAGACTAGTTTGGGATTTTACTTGCTAGCTAAGCTGTTTGTGAGCTATTAGCCTGGAAGCAACACGACAGACACTGCAGCTAATGTTGTCGACTCCATTCTAAAGAAGCCCTTTGATGAAGGAAAGCAGAATTAATATAAGTATAGCTGACTGACTAAAATAATAAAAAAAGACATTTTTTTGTCCTACTGACAACTGTTGACAAAAAAAAATCACCATCCACCACTGCCAGGGGTCCATATTGCTACCTACCTGTGCAACCATGATGACTATAATGAATTTGTGCTTTTATATTATTAAAAATTGAATTCCTGCATTACTTATGCTATCTCCAGCATTTTCAAAACAATAGGGAATATGAATCTCTAATATCTCATACTGTAGTTCTTTTCCAAAATGTCTCCTTACCATAAATACATTGATTGATGGTTTCATGCGGCGTTGGTTTTTTGAGATGTGGCAGTGTGGTTCAGTAGAGCAGAGTGCGACACTTTGATACCTTACGATACTTTTGGTCAGCATTTAGAGTAACTGGTCCTTGTAGGAGCAATTTGAGATCTCTGTGCCCCTCTCAGCTCCCAGTGTCTTTGGAATAGACTGCTCCTTCTAGCCTTGGCATGGAAAACAAAGATCACTGGAGCCAAAATACTCTATAAAGCTTTCAAGTGCAGTTTTCAAGCCCTGGAGTATTTGGAAACAGAAAGCTAATAGACTCAAAGACATTGAAAGGGGGATTTTGAGTTAGTGCTTTGGGCAGGTTATTTATATTCATTTATAGTATTCCTATGCAATAAAGTGGCTAATTAATAAACGTGTCAATACAATTCTGTCTAAAAACATGCGTGATGTCTTAAAAATACTCAAATACCAGCATTTAGTAAGCAGTGATGTACTTCTCCATATATTAAAATGTTCAGGTGTGCAGGTCCCATGTGAAACATTTAATTTTTGAATGGAAAATTAGTTTTATCTAACTCATTTTTTTTTTTTTTTTTTGGAAAAGTAAGCTTTTTACATATTTACAGATCGTTGTGGTATATTAGATCAGAATAAGATCATTATTCCATATTTGATGCACTGAAGGAAATAATTTCATGGCTATTATTATAAGAAGCTGTCATTTATCCTGTCAAATGATATTTTCCCATTTTGTCACACTGTAAAGGAATGTGGCTCTTTATATCTGCACCTATTTCAACTCTCAAAATAAGTCTGTGGATAGAATTTTGATGTTGGATTTATAAGAGTAATAAATAATGACCAATCTGAAGGACATACTGTATCGGTACACCTAAACAGGCTGTCTCATTAGGAATGTCCCTGCAGTCCATAGTTATTCTTTGACACTGTCAGCCACACTGACTATTAGTGCCTCTTAAATTGTGCTTTTAGAAAACCACTTCCTGAACTTTTACTGTCTGATGAATAACACATCTAGTTTTCCTGTAACATTGTCTTTTTATAAATACACATGGTGAATTTAGGCACTTTCAGCTGAATTACTTATTTTATTAAAGTACAAATTACACACAAGGAAGTTAAAAATTGTTACCAGGAAAATGATGGGATTTCAGGATTCATTGTGCTGCACGTTTACTCTACCTGTGGTTATCTTTATTTAGCTTTTTACATTTTTCCTAGGTAGCGGGGATAAAGGGAATGTTCATAGCCAACAGAAAGCTTGATAATCAGGTGAAGACATATATCACCTACAACAAAGGCAGAGACTGGCGTTTACTACAGGCCCCTGCTTCAGACCTGACAGGCCATGACATTCACTGCACTCTGGTAAGCAAGACCTAAAAGGCTAGACTTCATGCACATTATTTTCTGACGGCATTTGAAATGGAGAAAAAAATAAAAATGCTTATAGCCAAAAACATGTATATGATGAAGGTAAAAATGTTTTTTAGAACTCTTTAAAGCATTTGTCCGCCTTTAAGGAAGACGTTCAACTTTTGTCATTAAATTTTTGGTATAATATGTATAAAATAAATAAATTAAGGGTTCACTTTGTTGTTGATAACAATAATAATAGTAATAATGATGATAATATTAATAATAATAATAATATGGTACTCCTTTAGTGTGTGCTGTACTAGCTTTCGCGATCTACCACTGGGTGGTGCAGAAATAAATACGTTCCGATGACACATACGATTTAGGGTATCGCTTTATATTAACTTCACATTGAGGACAAAGCTGAAGGAGAGATCAAAGTCATGTTGCTATTATGTTGGCTGAGCCGGTAGAGCGCACGTTAAAATGTGAACTGAGCCGGTAGAGCGCACGTTAAAATGTGAACTGAGCCGGCAGAGCACGTGCAAAAGTGGCACCAATAATACTTTATTTTGAATATCTAGCATATTTTAAATTTTAGGTTTCACTTGTGCGAGGCACACAATTAATTCAGTCCATTATTTGGTTAATTGCTCTCCATACCTTCCTCTTACTCATTTTAATAACTAATTATTCAAATGTCATTGACATTCAGTAAGAAAATATGTTTAAATTGTGTTGTGTGCAATGTTTAGGCAATATCTGCTGATTTTTTTTCTCATTTTATTCATTTAAAAATGACATTATGCAGAAAGGACACATATCCCATTCAGAATGAATTATCAATTAAATGTTTGAGGTTGTTATTTCTCCACTCCTAATCACATACTCATACAATACCACCCAAATTCCCATATCTACATTGTTGATAATATGTTAAATCTGTGTGATTTTGAAATGTCGACAGTTTACAATGGAAAATATTCTGTTATTAAGAAATTATTCAGCAGTTGTTGTTTAATATTTTGCTCAACATGATTTTCCCAATATATAATTGCTACCTGTAATATTTCTGACATTTAAGATTTGTTTTCATAAGTTATAAAATCTGTATGTTTTTTCACTCATTTTTATTCCCCCCCTTCCATCCACAGCCTTTCTGTTCCCTGCATTTACATTTGCAGATATCAGAAAATCCTTACACTTCTGGAAGTATTTTGAGCAAAAGTTCAGCACCAGGCATTATCGTGGCTACAGGTAATTAAGTAATTTCAGTTAATCCTGCCATTTTTAAATAGTGTTTGATTACTGTTTTCGAGCTGTGACATGTTTTGTGAACAACCTCTGCATAAATGTTAGAACTGTGTGAATTGTATTTAGATCTCAGAAATATTAAAAAATGGTATTTAATATGAAAAATAAGAACATTGTTAACATGTTTATAAACATATTCTCCAAACACTGTAAAGTTACAGCTACTGTGCTTCTACCCCGTACACTCTTACTTTATATGAATATGTCCAGAATGATTACAAGTCATTGCAAAATGGTTATGCCCATACTCATTTCTGACAGGTAATATCGGCTCTGAGCTTTCATACAATAATGTTGGAATGTATATATCATCAGATGCTGGTAATAACTGGAGACAGGTAGGAAAAATCTGCTTTTAAAAAACTAACATAACATTTTTTTTTCATGAAATATACCAAATTCTTACCCTACTTTGTGTTTTTGAACTTTTTTGTTTAGTTGATCTTTTTCATTTTAATAATACAGCAATTAAAAGCAAGGAACTAGACAAATCCTACAAATGTTGTTACACTAAGTATGTTTCTACCCTTGACTTGTAGATTTTTGAGGAAGAGCATAGTGTTTGGTTTCTGGACAAAGGAGGTGCCCTGCTTGCAGTTAAGCAAGCAACAGTCCCTATCAGGCATCTGTGGTATGTTGCGATGTGGTCACTGTCAAGAACTTATTTTGTTCTGCATTTTATGATTGTTATCGTGTTGGGAAATTGTAAAATCCAATATTTATTCTATAATACTGTTCTCCGCCTATAATGCATATTATTGAAGGTCATAAAATGTAATACAGCAGGAATTATAATTTAACAACATAGCATGTAGAGTAGAATGTGGCTCAGTGGGATAAGCCTCTATACCTGTGATCAGAAGCTTGCTGCTTCCAGCCCAGCTTAGGCAAAATAGTCATATGTCTGTGGGCCCTTGGGCCCTTGGGGGTCCTGCTGCAGTTGGCCGCTCTTCACTGTGTCAGGAAGAGCAAGACAGGGCAGGCAAAAAGAGAACGTCCCCCCAGGGCTCAATAAAGTGTCCTTATTGTTATATTGAATTAATTTAATTATTTAAACAGTATTTAGCGGTATAAAAGCAACATTTTGAAGAGCCTAACACTCCTGCTTCAAATCCGATTTCATAAAACGTGAGCCCCCCAGCTTGGTTACTGTTCACAGTTCTTTGCCTTCGAACTCTAAATCTCCTCAGCACTTGAATGCTTTTGAAATTAGAGTTTATGAACTTGTGAAGTGTGACCTTGTGCCTTTCCTTCCATTTAACAATTTAAGCCCCATGACAGATGCTCAGAATGCATTTCTCTGAGAGACAAAAATATTTTCCACTACAAATACAACGCGGAACATTGGCATCAACCAAGTGCATGCTGTTACCTGCAGATACAGGTCTGCAGTACCAGGAAAGTCCATGCAATCTTCATATATTTCATCTTTGCCACGTCAAGTACATTGAAATTTCCACTCAGCAACTGATGGTGTTAAGCTGTCAGAATCAATGAATTGGTGCATGTTGGATGAAAGACATTGTATTCGTGGTAAAACATAAATAGTTTCTATTTTGGTTTGTTTTTATAATACTGTCAACTAAACTGCACCAAAACTCAACGGTCCCCCCTCAAATTGTCTGATTTTTTTTTCTCTTTTGAGAAACAGCCTTTATGTCTCTTGCTTTTGTCCTTTGATATTCCAAGGAAATGTTTTCTTTCAACAGAAGCTTGCTAATTAGATGAAATTGGAGTTTCTGATGTGTTCTACTGAAAGTATTAATTTTTACCAACGCCTGAACATCTTTCTACCTCCTACAATCACTATAAATGTCATATACGTTTTCTTTCCTGTCAGCAGGCTAGATTAATGCTTCTCTCCTTTGGTTCTAACAGGATCAGCTTTGATGAAGGCAGACAGTGGATTCGACATGGCTTTTCTTTGGTGCCTCTCTTTGTGGATGGAATTTTAGTGGAGCCAGGGACAGAAAATCAGATAATGACGTATGTAGCCAAAGATATAAAATTCTAGAGCTACTTTTCATAAAAGACATAATGATGAAACATATATTTTTGTGCAATTTTGCATATTAAAATAACAGATAATGTTCATTATGATTTGGTTTATTAGATATAGGGTGTTAAAATCTGTAATAGATGATGGCTTTAGATAAGTAGCTATTATTTGTTTTAATTTTTAATATTTATATCCAAAGGTTTTTTGGGCACTTTAGCCATCATTCTGAATGGCAGCTTATCAAAATCGACTATAAATCCATCTTCACTAGAAGATGCACTGAAGGGGACTACCAGACGTGGCATTTGCACAACCAGGTAATATGATGAATTTATTGGACAGATTATACAAAAGAAGAAGTTTGCATTAAGAATGAAATTCTATTTTTAATAAATTTCTTATTTAGTGACTTGCATAGTTTACCAGTTTGACCTAGACTACACATATCCATTCATATGTATTTATTACCAGTTTGACCAAGACAATGCATATCCATTCATATGTATTTATTACCGGTTGCACCTAGACTACGCATATCCATTCATATGTGTTTATTACCGGTTTGACCTGGACTACACATATCCATTCATATGAATTTATTGTTGTATTTCGAAAGGGTGAACCTTGTGTAATGGGAGAGAAACAAATCTATATGAAGCGTAGACCAGGAAACCGATGCATGCTGGGAAAAGACTACTCCAGAATACTATCAGCTGAACCTTGCATCTGTAGAACCTATGATTTTGAATGGTAAGTTCCCACAATTAACCTAAAGGAAAAAGGTCAAACAAATGTGAAATAAAATAATATATATATATATATTTTTCGTTTTTAACATTATTGTGATTCTTTTCAATGTGCTGTTATGAAATCAGCCTGAGCCCAATACTCCACCTTCTTTGAAGTATGAGGAAGACTATCAGATTATCAGATAGTCCATTACATTACATTTATTTATATAGCACATGCTTTTGTCCAGAAAAGTAAAAGTGATGATTCAGATACTGTCCCTGGAGCAATTGGGGTTAAGGGCCTTGCTGAAGTGCTAAAGGCCCCCACAGTGACAACACTCCCCAGCCAAAAGATTTGAGCTGTCAGCCTTCTGATCTTATCTCACAGAGTCACATACTGTACCGCCCATTCATAATCCATAACTTTTAATGCACACTATAGAGGATATCAGAACAGGACCCATAAAACGGCGTCTGCTTTTAAAACTATATGCTAACTAGGACAAATTAGCTTGTTTGATCTTCTGAAACAGATGACAAGTTGATCAAATAGAGGCTGAAATATACATACACCGCCATCATTATGCATATTGATTTTCGTTTGCAATACGTCTAACAAATTGACATAAGCAGCTAAGTGGGAATGACTGCAGAATGCTGAAGATGAACAGCTTGAGCAAAGCAAGCTGTTAAGATGTTTCTTATATTTGATATTTATGTTTATTTTATGTTGTTTGTAGCTTTGACTAGTTCGTAGTAGCTTTGACTCCGCCCCATGAAAAACAATTTATTTTAGTTAAACATGTTATTAATCACTACACCATATTGTGTTGTTTGCTAAGAATCAATTAACTAAAAAAAATTACAATTAAAATTCACTTGCACAGTTCATATAATCTACCGCTTTATACGTGTATCTTCAAAACATTATATATGTTTTATATATATATATTTTATATATGTTTTTTATACTTGTTACTTTGGGTCAGACTGAACACCTACAATTAAGACTGGGCAGAAAACCCAAATGCTTTATTAATTATATTAACTGCTAAATAGCAGAATAATCAGTACAAACCAGGAGTGAGCAAACAGACATTGTGAGTCAGGTCATTGTCTGCCAAACAAGCCTGGTGTTTTGCCCGTTCCTTCCCCAGCTTTAGGGAAATGTTGCTGACAGTACTTGGGCCTCTGACAGACAAGGCCGTCCCTGTTCAAGACTGCTCAGCAGGTTGGGACCCTGCCTGTTATCGGAAGGTCGCCAGTTCAGATCCTGCGGTTGGCTGAGTGGTCTCACCGTTAGGCCTTTGAGCAAGGCCCATAACCCCTCCGATTGCTCCAGGGATCGTCTGACATTGCCTTCTCGAAACGTGTCACTTTGGATGAAAGCGTCTGTTAAATAAATACAATTCTTATATTGCATTGTCTTTCATGTCTTTGCTGTCTCCTTCCTCCCCCCACCTACCCCCCACAAGTGTAACATGAGAATTTCATAAAATGTAATAAATCTTGCACTCTTCTCAAGAATGAATTAATTAATGCATTTATATTAATTAATCTGCCAGTCTTACTGCATCTGGATGCACTAGAAATATGTCCTAGAAGGCAGCTTTGTATTCTCTTCATCAAATAAATTATTTTGTAAAAATCCAACATTATGAAGTTACACTGACAGCAACCCTTTTAAGGAAAAGTGGGTGATGGACAAATGGATTAAAATTACTAGTAAAATATGTTTATTTCTTTAATTTGCACTAAAAAGCTAGCCATTTTTAAAGCTTTGCTGATGCCGACTGTGGGTTAAAAAAGCAGAGGATGAATTTCTACATCTGTGGTAATACTGTGCAAGATGACGCACTGCTATGAATGAGAGATTAAAGATTTTTCTAATTCAGTATTATTATGCAAATGGATCAAATGAACGCCTGAAATAGCTGCAAATTCAGGACAGTACTTCAATATTTTGATTGTAATGGTGTTTGTACAAGGTCAAACAGCATGTGCGCAACTCCATTAGCTCCCAGAAGAGGTTGTTTTTATTGACATTTTCAGGAGACGATATATTCAACGAGCTGATTTATGTATGAGTCAGTCTGCAACCTTTGATGCACACATGGACGTGTGCAACATTGATTTACTTATGTTGTTAACAGTTTTAGTACCTATAATGTTTTAGAATTAACTTGCATGAAAAAAAGTTCTTATTTTGTCATAAAATTATGTAAAATTGTGAATATATTGCTGGAGTGGAAGGTGGTCAAAAGACAGATGCAGAGGCTTGGGATCAAAAGAAAGAAAGGAAATTATTACAAAATCAGGACACATTTGTCCAAAGCCAGACTAAAGTAAGATCACAGCATGAGGATGCCCCCCTCCTTAAAAAAGATAATGACTATTAAAATACAAAGAAATATTGCAAACTTAAAGTGTTACTTTCAAAACAGCTGAACAGGTACACACCTCATTTCCAAACCCAACAGACTGATCATTCTCTAACCTCAAAGAGGCAAACGACTGTAGCAGGGTCACCTGGATTTCATTACCTGAAGCATTTTTGGCCAGGGCATTAATCAATAGATCAGTATTTCCGGCAACCACCTTCCACTGCTCTACGTTTCCTACATGCTCACACAAACAGCACATTTCACTACATTAACTCTAGGTCTTACTCACATTGATGGAAGCAAAAAAAATACTTTATTATGTAATTTGGAATAAGTAAGATCCTCTTGACCTAATAACATAAGGCACTCAATTATATGAAAAAAATACATGAACTGTGCACAGTGAAAGTAACTAACAGAATCAACATTTCTTCCAATGTTCTGAAATAAACAGACGTTCACAGCACTTTGTCCAAAACCCTAATGAGATAATGGATGGCCAGTTGGCTGGTTAATTGTCAGCCTGTGCTGCTGACTGCCACCATCAGCATTAGTCTTTAGTGGCGGAACAAAAGATTGATTTGGAAATTTACAAGCATCTACAATATAGCAGTGAAAAATAATAATGACGTGTTTAGACGAAAAAAAGAACATTTTACATATATTTTACTGAAAATGTAAGACTCTTCAGTATGTGTTAAATAGATATAAAACGTGTCCATTCAGAGCCAAACTGATTTATTGTGTTTTTTTCTGTATTGTATCTTAGACCTTGTAGTGTAGGTGCATTTCATATTGTCAGAGAGGGAGTGAAACACTCCTACCTAGAATTGAACTTCTGTTGAAACAGGACTGTCACATATTTGTATTTTATCTAAGGAGTCCAGAGGTGCAGCCTGGAAGGCCTGCCAGTCCTCCGCAGGGCACGTGCACACAGGCCGTCATACACTTTACAATTTAGAATTTAGATAGACCAGTTAGCGTAACTGCATGACTTTGGACTGTGGGTGGAATCCAGGCTACAGGGAGCCAAGAGTGGAAAGTGCAAATTCTTGACATGAAAAGAAGGGCTGGGATTCAAGCCCCCACCCCTTGAGATCTGCGGTTACAGCAAAAAAGCCAATGTGCCACCCTAAATATTTTAATCAATGAACAACAACAACAGCAGCAACAATAGCACAACAACAGTAATAATAATGATGGTCTTTCAATTTCTTTTGCAGTGATTATGGATATGAAAGCCACGGGGATGGAAAATGCCTCCCGGCATTTTGGTTTAATCCTTCCACAGTGACCAAAAGCTGCAGCTATGGGAGAAACTTCCTCAACAGCACTGGGTCAGAATTTTTCTCATCTACGATACCCTTTGTTCTATATCACCTCAGTGACAGAATAACTCTTTTTTTTTCCCATTGGGTGAACAATCCGAATAGCATTTTTATTATTTTTAACGCGCTAATGCATTGAACAAAAACATAAGTGGTATATTCCCTGTCCATTGGCCAGATACCGGAAAGTAGCATCCAATAACTGTACAAAGGGAGTGAAGGAAATATATACAGCCAAGAAGCAGCAATGCCCTAACTCAACTCCCAGAGGCCTTCAGCTGATCACTAATGACGGGAAGCTGACAGCTACCCTTGGTGCCAACGTTACGTTCCTTGTGCATCTTGAAGAGGTGAGTTTGTTTTGCCATTTGTTTTACTGGGAACTTAATTACCCAGAGCCACAGATAAGTCACACAGCTTTGTGTACAGCATCAGCACTACCCCAAGACTCAGTAATAAAATATATAATATAATCCCATTATATTAGGTTATTGCCAAGCTGTAGATTACAAATCTATAATAGCAAAATTAACTATGTGCGAAAACGGCATCTCAAAAGACTGAGACTACCCGCTTCTTAGCTAGGGAGAAATCGGTGAGAAGGAAAAAGTAAATCAAGTAAAAATTACAATGAAAAATGAAGACTGCTGTCTGATAAAAAAAATCTTTTAGTCGCTTCAGATGAAACTCAACACTTAAACCTGAAACACGGGTTATTAAGGAGATGGCAACTTAAGCACTTAAATTACACTGTATGCTGGTTCACGTTTGTCGTATAAAGTGACCTACTGTGCAGGTCACAGAATTTTACTGTGAGTGGCAATTAAAAAGGAAAAAAAGGATTCGCAGTTGGACGGAACAATCTTGAATGTCCCGTTTAATTATATAGATCACAGGCAAGAAAGCATATATAAATCACATGGTGTTCTAACTGAAATATTATCATAAATCCAACTCCTGCATGGGATAAAGGCATTCTCTTTAGAGTTTTCTCTTGATTTTTGACATTTACTGAATGGTAAATGAAGTTAAATTATGCAATCACCTGTGCTGTGTGACATTTCCATACGAAAGAGGTGAGAGGTGAAATTTCACAGACAAAGAAGACGTGTACGCTGTTGTAAAACAACATAAGCTTTATATTGCATAATTTTTGGATGGATATTGAATTTGTTACTTTTTGACCCATTTTTGCATTACTGATTAATGGTTGCTTAATAATTAAGTTAAATTAAAAATTTTATGTTACAAAACCCCTCAATATTTACCCAACACTGCAGGTAGATGTCACGAACTTTGGTAAACCACATTAGATTGTAATTTTGCAAGTTTTGTACACTTGCTTTGTATTGCACTAAAAATCCACAATTGCACATCCTTTAAATCTTTGTGCATGAGAACATTTAGGCCCAATCAACACAAAGTCAGCCTTGTAGTATAGTATTTAATATACACTAATAACTTTGCAGGTAATTATATAATCATCTTGCACAGATTAATGTACTTAGAATTGGCTGTACAAGGCCTGCACCATGAAAATTGGTTTCTAAGTACAGAGCTTCAAATTAGCTGAATAGATTCCTACTTCATTGTTTTAATTAATTAATATAGTCATGTACTGTTCATTTTGCTCGACTGGCATCTTGATTTTGATGACCACAGACTTGTGCCCAAAGTCTGTAACAGTCTCTACCCCCTCGTTCCCAACAACCTGGACAAGTATAAGCGCTTTGAAGATGGATGGATGTAAGAAGTTTCATTCTGGTGCCGGTGCACATTGTCTTTTCTTAAAAATGAGACAAACTGCAAATCACTCTAATTACATATTGCAATTAGTCATTGGGAATAAAAAAGAGTGTTTTTTGACTTCCATCATGAATGTTGTCTTCAAGGTGTGCAGGTTCACCCTCACCTGAGATTCAAAAGCCCTATAAAGGAAGTTTTTGGGGAGACCTTGCTTTGACCCTGGAAGGAGTATGGTACAGAATATTTCCAGGGCATGCTGTTCCCATATGATGTTGCAGCAGTCTGCATTAGATTCAGGGGAATATGTTTCAGTGATATTACAATATCACTCAGGCAGAGGTCTTTCATCACGCTTTGAGGTGTGTCTTTCCCTCTCTGGGTTCCTTCGTGGCAAAGTTGTCATATTACTGTGTGATGAGTTGAGGAAATGAGCCCCCATTCCTTTCATTAAGAAAGGGATTCTCAGATATGAAAAAACGATAAGGGGGGGGGGGGAGTGGGGGGCGGGTGGAGATGAAGAATCCTTGTGGAAGTGGACTTATGCATTTGGAAATCCTCCAGTTGAATTCAACTTTAATTTATATTCATGAAGCTTGATATGGTGGTATTTCTTGGGTGGGGAGAATGGTGATAAATATTTAATATGCTGTTAGGATTAAGAAGGGCAGTTTAAGAAAAATTTGCTAAGCAAGGCATTGAAAATGACTGGCCACTCTTATCTTATGGTTGTTTGCAAACATACCACTATGGCAGGCATGTGACATTTATTTTTATTTATATACAAACGAATTTTTACCACGACAAAATGAGGGTGGCACGCAGAAGATGTTAAGAATTTCAGGCCTTGTTGCATTTAAGAAGCCCCCCCCCCCGCCCCCCCAAGCAACATTGCCGTTGTCTGGAATAACATTGTTCAGGTCAGCGCATTGTCACAGTACCGGAACCTTCCGCTTCCCAGACCTTTTTATCAGGATGGCACTATCTGCACGCTGCCATGACAGTCAAATGCTGTACAATGAAGTTAGTCAGCAGCTACACCTCCCTGTTCAGGAATAAGGAATCGGGAGATACTGTCAGGTTGACATGGCATGGTGTAGGTGGAAATGAGGGGGTCCCAAGAGACACGGGGGGGTTAGTGACAAAACTGAACCGAAGCACAAAATAAAGGGCCATGAGGGGTCAAAAATAGACAGGGGAAGAAATAAAGAATTAACTGAAAACCATAGAATAAACACAACTACCGAACTAAGCAAAATGGAGCCCAGGACTGGGCAATAGAACAGGGTAACACACACACAGAGTAACAACAACACCAGTAAGGAACTGAACACAGGTAGGCACTTATACACAGGAACACCAGGGCAAACACCAAGGAACAGGTGCAAATCATAATCAGATTAACAAATTGAAAAGCACTCGGGACAACAAGGAAGAGGTGGAGCAGATTACAATTAAACGACTGAACGAGCATGAAACTAAGGAACTTTAACATGCACCAAATCTAGAACGAGCATAACACAGAAAGCTGAATACACTCCAAGTCAGCCTCAGACCCACAACTGGCAGGCTCTCAGTCTCTAAGCCACGTACTCATCCCAATGAGCCATGCAGGAGGCTGGGGAATAGGGATAGCACACTGGGGCGGAAGGACAAGAGACAGGACAGAGAACAGGATGACCAGCAACACCTGCTGGCCAAACGGGCAGGAGACATGAAGAGCAGGGTAGGATGGGCACTAACCCTGACAGCTACAGATACCTTGTTACCGTCAGTGACCCTTAAAGATGCGCTGCAGTTAAATAAATGGCTTGAGTAAAATATTCATAATAGAACCCTCTAGACCAGTCTTGGTGTCATGACCTGCTCGTCCAATCTTCCTGTGTGCCACGCCCCCTTGTTACCTTGTGTGGAATCTCGGTGTTTTCAGCTGTGTCTAGTTGTTGTTAATCAGCTCTGTGTATTCAGTGCTTGCGAGTCTGTCTTACCGCTGGCCAGTCATTGACGTTTCGTGACGTTGGTTCCTGTTTTGCTCCCTGTGCCTCGCTGTTTCCTCATTAAACCCCGTATTCACCCGATTTCCCGACTCAGGCTCCTGCTTCCGCGGTTCCTGCCCCGTCGCTCGTAACACTTGGAGGGCCGGGGCCCTGTGTAGCTCAACAGCTATGTGGTAATTAGCAAAGGAGTTGAATCAGGTGTGTTAAACGAGGGGAAACCCAAAAATATGCAGGGCTCCGGGCCCCCAGGACTGGAGTCTGACACCCCTGCTCTATAGCTTATAATACAATTGTTTAAACCTGATTTTGAGATTTATGGAAAAATTAAGAAAAAACAAAAGTGAAGTCAAATCAACTTAGCCTTACAGCCTCGTTTACTGCTTCCTGATTAGTTCTACAGAATTTGAAGAATATTTTCAGGATATGTGCTACGTGCAAACAGGTTGAGCTTCTTGTGTAAGGTAAAGGCTCTATGACAAAAGTCTTTCCTTTAAAATAATACAGATAAACAGATCTGTTTAGCAAGTAGCCCTAACAGCCGTGACAGCTGGAATGCTTAATGGGGTGATTGATTTTGAAATATTTTAAATATTACTAAAACACAAACAGATGTATAAAATACATGATTCCATCCATGTTCTGGCCGCTTATTGAATACAGGAATGTGGGGAATATGCAAGACAACAGACCATGTTGTGTAATGTAGGTAATATATAATAGTACCAATATACAGTAGTATTGTATAGCAGTGTTTCCCAGCACAGTCCTCGGGGAACCCCGGACAGTCTGTTTTTGCTTCCTCTCAGCTCCCAGCACACCTATACTAGGTTTTCGGTGTTCCTGATTGGCTGGGAGCTGGAAGGGAGCAAAAGCGTGGACTGTCTGGGGTTCCCCAAGGACTGGTTTGGGAAACACTGTTGTATAGTATCTCATCATTACTGCCATTAAAAGAAGCTTTTCCCGAATAGTTAGTTCAAAATGATGAGAAATTAAATACATGCTGTTATATTTTAAGAAAACTTTTAAGTTTTTGATACAGTGAGCATGATAATCGCATTTGTCATGAAAACCTGAAATCCTACCTAAATATATACTGAAAATACATCATTTCCTCCTAGAGTATAAAGAATAAATGTTTCTGAAACCAATTGCAAAACAAGAAGAATAACAAACACTGCATTATAGCCACAGAATAATGCCAGTTTATGCAGTTTATGTTTTTTTCCCTCATACTGTGAAATGTTTCTGCTGCTTTTTCTGCAGCCACTTTATGTTTAAATTTTCTACGCAAGGAAGCATAAAATATCTCATAGCCACCCAGTGAATCTGTGCATCTCTTCACGTTCCGCAGCACTCAAAAGCAAACCAAATGCCTCAAAAAGATAATGTTTGCATTTGTAATAATGCATTACCACTTCTCACGACTCAAGCTGCATCACAAATGAATATCACAAATGTACTGTCTTACACTGCGCTAGAGGGAGATCTGGGATTTGCAAGCTGGGTCAGATAACCCCAAATTTGGATGCTGCCATCACTATTGGCTGCTGCCATTCAATCTAAAGCTACTAACTGCCAGATGTAGCCCCAAAGGAGCCTGCAATTTGCATGGGTCCATTGATTCATTTGCAGGGGCAGATCATAAGGTGAAAAATATGCAGCCTATTGTGTCTATTCATTTTGCCGTCTGTCATTTCTATGCATGGATTCTGTATCTGAATCCTGAATTATCCTTTATCCTGTTTTTTTCCGCATTGTGTGACATCAAACGAAGATACACTTAATTATCTGAACATGTTGTTTTGTATTTCAGTTTAATTTGCAAGCTGACACTAATCATAAATGTTATTAATCGCAGTCACATGAAACTTTTTAATTAGGAGCCTAATGCACTAATGCACTACCAGTTTTTTAACTTTGATATTATGTACTGTACATGTGTCTAGGGGAAATTGTCACAGTGCAGTTGAGTCGTAATCTGAAATATTCCATCCAGCTGGCTTCAGCAGTAGAATGATCACCTCTCAGAAGGCAAATGTCAGAAAGTTACACTAGTATGATTGCAATAAGCAGAAGCATTAGACGTGTATTGTGAAAGGAAAGGAACGCTATCCGAGTGATCAAGTAATAATGAAAACATTCATCACATTTCGTACAGCAGTGTAAAGGGGAAAAACTTGTGCTTCTGTCCGCCCACAGGGTGATTCTATGAGAACAAACATTCAGTTGGATTTTGGGGATGGCATAGCGGTGTCCTACTCAAACCTTACCTGGACGAAAGATGGAATAAAACATCTTTACAAAAGTGCTGGAATATTTCGAGTTACTGCACTTGCAGAAAACAACCTTGGATTTGACAGCACTACACTTTACTTACACATCAGCTGTAAGTAAAACAGATCATCTTCTTACGGCGACATCTTCTTATCTCATGTTACCATGCAAAGTTTTGAAATCTCACTTATTGTCACTAAATGGGTTTTGGGTTACTAATAAGAATGGTATGCCTAGTACATTTTGTCTACAAACAGGCAATAATTATTATATACAATCAATAACATAATTCAGTATCTTGATTTACCATCACATATAAATAGTTAGGTTAAATGTACATATTTATAATGATGTGTGTGATGTCTTTCAGGCCCAATAGAGCATGTCCATCTCCTAGCTCCATTTGTTGCAATCAGGAATAAGGAGGTCAACCTCACTGCCGTTGTCTGGCCAAGCTATCCTAGAACCGTAACCTATTTCTGGTGGTTCTGGAACAGCACTGAGGTAATGTCTAAGTGCCGGGTCAAATTTATGTTCTTGTAAACATAAACAAATGTGAACATGCTTATACTTGTGCTTTGTATAGAAACAATACCTTGGAAATATATATATATATATATATATATATATATATATATATATATATATATATATATATATATACCTATACGTTTACCAATTTCTTTTGTTTGTTGTAGCCAATAGTAACCTTGGAAGGAAGCATTTCCACTACTTTTGCAGCAGAGGGAATGAATACAGTTACAGTCCAGGTGTCTTCTGGGAATATAATATTACAGGATACAAGAACAATAGCAGTCCAAGGTAAATAGTAGTTATAATTGTTAATTTTCTTTGTTTTTATATTGAAACCTTTTGAATTGTTTTTTTCCCAGTTACAACCTTTGACAAGAATAAAAAGGGATATTCATTGAACCACTGCTTATAATTCACATTTGTTGCCCTGTCATGACAGAAGTATTACCATTCTCCCTTTAATGCTTTTAGAACTGTTATGCTAATGTTAAATTTAATTAAAAATTGCATTTGTTTTTCAGAGTAATATACTAGTTTGTTAAATATTCAAGATAGGACTATACTGTCGTCTTGTTAAAAGCAAGGCATTCATCTTTTTAACTAATAGACTGTTCACCTGTAGAGAACTTATCATGGAGCTGGGTCCTTGAAAATTTTCAATGGAAGAATTATTAAAAGATGGCCATTTCCTATGTTTTCACAGAGTTCTTCAAATCACTCCTTTTATCTTTCTCCCCTAATCTGGATGAGTACAACCCAAACATCCCAGAGTGGAGGCAGGACGTAGGAAGAGTAATTAAGAAGGCCCTTCTACAGGCAAGTGCGGATGAAAAAGACAGAGAGCAGTGAGGATATCTGTGGTTCATATAAAAGCTTAGTATTACTCATTTGTTAATTTTAGAATTCACCAACCAATAAAGCAGTTGGTAAATTAATATCTTAATACATTTGGCAGCCACTTCCTACAGTAGATGCAAATAGTGAATCTTTATTAAGACTGTGCTCTCTTCATTTATTTTTGTATTTGTTTGTTTTTGCAAAAGATTAGTGAACAGAACAAATTGGCCAATTTAAGATATATAGATTGCATATGAGGTTATTATATAATATTAGCAGTCATCGCAATACAGAAATCTCAGAAAAAAGGCTAAAAAGTTGTACCTTTGCTTGTCACTGGGGCTGTACCCTCAAGGGTCTGTCAATTGTACCCTTAGCTGTAGGTCACTGTACCCCTTTTAACTCTGAGGAACATTTCTGTACCTTTAAACATACAATTACAAGGGTACAGCCCCAGTGTCAAGCAAAGGTACAGTATACATTTTTACTTAGAGTGTATACATTTCTTAGAGTGTATACTGTACATTTCTTAGAATTATAGTCTCACAGGTAAGTTGACTGGCAGGTAGCCTATTTGACCAAATTATCAAATTAGATACTTATGTTTTTCTAATTTGATTGTTATTGCTCTGTTCCGGTGCTTAGACTGAGCTTGCAATGTATTGTAGGCAAATGCCCAAGTGACCAAACACCCACTGTTTGCATTGTGCAGAGCTGCCTATTTATACAGCTTGTGCAAGAGCATGGGCTCTGTCTTTTCAAAGGACCCCTAACACGAAGGGGTTTAAGGGGTAAACAGATGCAGGTGCGAAAACAATACTTAACAGCATAAAGGAAAGCAAACGAAGATAGTTTAAGTGTTATCCTTAGCAAACGGAAGAACGAACAGGACAATGATATGTTGACGGCCAAGCAGAATACAAAACAAAGTACCAACGGCTCTCTTTGGGCTACATGTAAACGAGTTCTTTCCTCCCTGGAATTCCTCTACTTTCTGCTTTTGTGTTGTCACCGGACCAATTGAAGGATAATTGGTCAGGCGGCCTATTTCTTACTGTGACATTCTGTGACATTCATACTGTGGAATCCTGGAGGGACCAGCCATTTTCTCAGCTCTCACCTCATTCCCCCGCTAGCTGGGTAGAGTAGCTGCCCTCAGAGGTGTTGGCTAGCCGTCATTTAGTCTTATACCCAATTTTTGACATTCTTGATCGACATCACACTACATGAAAGTCAGAATGATGATATGTTATTATAAATACATAACTTAAACATGCTTTGCAAAAACAAGACTCGCTAGAAGAGAGACTATTATCTTGTAAACTTAATCTTACAGCCTAAAACAAGTCAACTGCAAAAGAAAAAACACCATCATATATACACCCTGACTTGAATGAAAAATTGAATTGAAAAATTCAGTGTATTAAGTCTAATTTGAAACATTGTGTCTCCAAGAAGAAATTTGCAACAAAAAAATACTGATTTATTTCTTAAGATCAAAGAATTGCTGGCAGACAGAAGCAAGGTAATTAAGACTTAGTGCTGAAGGGATGCTGAGCATCCTCCTGATATACAAGTCATTCTCCAGAAAAGCATAATATGCAACAGTATAATCACATTAAATGTCACATAAAACTGGACAATTAATGACAGTTATTAAAGCATTCAGCTTAAGAGGTGCTAGTAGTTGCTGGTTCTCTGATCTCTGATGTCTACAAATTTATGTTTTACAAATACAGCTCATTTCTTGATTTTTCTTTCAGGTTTATTGATATCCATAACAAGCAGTGTGTTTTGAAAGACCCATCATCTGTTGTGCTGTGGGTGGGATTACAGCACACTGTCAAAACTACATTTTATAGCCTGTTTTAAGTACTGAATTATATTGAAAATGTTTGCTACAGCACGGAAACAGAACATTTGAAAAACAGATTTTCCATGTGCAGCTGACTTTATAAATAAATTAGGAACCTGTTGTACAGCTATGTTTCAAGTTTTGCTGTAAAAATGTAAATGGCATCTGAAAGAAAAGCGAGTAAGCAATTTTTTTTGAATTATATAAAAGTTTCATGCTTTTGTTATAAATAGATCAGGGCACAACATTTGCAGATTAGTATATTATGAATATATGACAAAAAGGCTCATTTCATATTAATAACATATATTCTTTTACAAAACATGCCTTCAGAAAATAATTTAGGTGGAAAACATCAGATGAATTGTATAGTTGTACTGAAACACTTTACGTTCTCTCTTTGAGCTGACTTTCCAAAAGAAACATTTTTACCGATTTGTACAAAGCAATATCTCAGAGAAGTTAGAAATAAATATTTACCCAATAGTCTACAGAAGGACCTCCCTTGGCAATTGAACTAGTAACCTTCATGTTCATGTCTTTAACTACTAGGAACTTTCTGTCCTTGTCTTACAGTATGTAGCGGTATAAATGAATGAAAGAAAAAAAAAGGTATCGAACTGATACAATGTAGTAGAAATATATATAAAGGTGTATTACTATTGTTTTTTATCATAAAAAAACATGGTTTAATGTAATAACTCCCAATGCAGTTATTTTATTTGGACAAAACTGTATAAATATGTGTTCGTTATATTGTCCATCCCTTATATTTTCTAACCTACTTGTCCATTTTCAAATACTTAAAATACGGACATTTAAATGAAGGAAGACTAATTAAAATAAGTGTTCCGAGTAATGAAATATATCCTGTTGTGAATAGAGTTACTGTATATTCTCTATATACTGTATATTATAAACATTCTTGCATATTCAATATACTGTAAGCCATATATGCAGTACACAACAAAAACAGTATATGCAAGAAAATGTTTAAAAGTGAAATTATATATAAATATATATTTTTTTATTTTTATTTTTTTTATTTTTAAAATACATGCACACAAACTATGCAGATCTGCAGGTCTGTTTTAGTACATATTTTTTTATCTTCCGTTCTCAGTGGCTTGTAGCAGAGGAAGGACTGTCTGGTGCTTTTTAGTCTTTTAAGTTAGGTATATTACCCTGAGAGTTTGCAGCTGGCTTTCTTGATGGGGATATTGTCTTGGAAAAAGAGAAAACATTCACTCACAGTCCACCTTCGCAGTTTCTTGTGTCTTGTCATTCCGTCCTTGAGCTAAGTAGTTTTCCCCAGAATTTGCACCAGGGCCTATGACATTTTCCATTTCTGATGCCATAAACAGTTCAATACTAGACTACCCAGTCAAACATCTCAACACAGGGGGACACAAGAGCCCCTCATTGCATGTCAACAGCCGTAACAGGAGACTCCGTGCATCCTTACTGAGGATTAAGCCATCCTCTTGTAACTGGTAGGTTGACCTTTCCTCTTGCACCGCTATAAATTTGGCAGGAGGGAAACCTGCAGCATTTTGGATAAGTGGATAGCTGGTGTGACTGCTAACGTTGTTGTCCAAAGAAGCACAGGTGGCAGACCATAGTGGGATGATCCATGTGTGGGTGGACAACGACATTCTGAGAAGAGTGGTGTTTGAGTATGTGGGTTTTTCAGGAACACTGTTAGAAAATAGGATATGTAGATGCCCATTTGCCTTCAGCCAGCAGCTCCTTGACCCCTCCTGCAGGCAATGGTTTAAATTAGAGTTGATTGGTTGTGAAAATTTGTGTGGTGCTAGAACAGATCACCATTACTTTGTCTAAAGCTCTTCTTTTTACCAAAGATACTGCCAAACCTCCTCCTAATGCAGCAGTAGTCATGTTAGCATAGACCATTAGCAAAAACTTGCATTTTTGCTATTTTTAAGACACTAAGCAGAAATGTGTGTGTGTGTTCTTGATCAGTGATTCTCAATCTTTTTACACCACAGCCCAATTTTTACCATGGCATGTCAGTCACAACCCTGTATCAAGTATAAGTTTAAATTAACGCTATGATCAAGCGCGCAGTGCTCTCTGAAATGTATGCTTATCAATGCCTATCATACAAATCTGATTGGATGTGCCAGTGAATTTTAAATTAAGCATCTGTGGTTTGGCTTCTTGTATTGGATGAGTGTTCACTAGTTTTGCGCTAAGCAGTTGCAGACCCAAGACCGGTTTATACAGGTGAATTCTAGGATTTGGGCTGGGAAATCTGATTGTGGATCTGCATAGGAGCTTGCTGGCTTTAAAGTGCTTACATATTCAGCTCTGCCTTGCGACCCTTTAGGACTTGTCGCGACCCAAATTTGAGTTGAGACTCATGGGTAGTGAATCGCCGTTTGGTTTGTATAATTTTTTTATACTCCCATTCAGTCGTACTTGAGGCAGCAGTTACCTTTTCACCGATTGATGGACAATAATCTTTATCTTCCTATTACCTGCACTGTAGATTATCTTGAAGACATTATTTAAAGCGAATTTGTCATAGTCGGAATAGGAAACCCAGATAATGCAATTGGGAGACGATTTACTCCTGCAGGTATATTTTCAATCGGACTCAAACTGGCCTAGGTACTCTACGCATGCTTCGTAGTTCTCCCCCCTGAGCTTTGGCCTGGAATTTACAGAAGAAGCTTGGAGCATAGCAGAGGACATACAGCATGTACCCAATGTACGGCGCTGTAAAGCTGTCCAGTTCACAGGTCGACTAAAGGGCACTTCTCCACCGCACCAACACTTCAAGGTGTCGGTTTTCCATTGTCGTAAAGACTGGTACCACTGCCGAATGACATCACAAAGCGAGGCTGGGTATTCTGTACTGAATTCGAAAAATGGCTGTATTAGGACTGGACGACATACGATATTAATACCAACATCGTATGTTATGCACATCATGCATCGCTAATCAGCTAGATTAAGATCAGGCTTTTTCTTGCCTTAAATTTAGAAGGGAATATTTTAGCGCAGGGAGTTTAAGTCTTGCTAAAACAAAAACCTAGTGAATTTTGCAATTTTAATTGTTATTTATTTTTTTTTATTTTTTTTCAAGATTACCTAGTATACATTTAAAAATCAGTTTAATGTTTATCTCCACTGCATGTGTTCTCTGAGACAATCATAATTATTTTCATCCTGGCTGTTAAATCACTCCTAGATGGGTTTGTGAGAAATTCATGTGGAACTCCTTCTTTTGTTTCATAAGGTCCCAATAATTATTACAACAAAATCACATTGCAATATTTGAAGATTTTCAAAGTCATAGTATATTGATTAAATTTTTTGCTATGCTATTCTGATCTTTTTGTATCCGTTCTTCTGACCAGATCGCAAGTAAAGAATGTGTCACTTCATTTGTCTACACATCCATTATTAATAATTTTATTACTTCTTATGTCTGTGATGGAATAGGTCAACTGGAAAAAGCCCAATACTAACAGGGTGAAAGGAGACATAACGCCACCTATTGTACCGGAGTCAAACATACTTCGGTCAATAAATCGTTTCCCCTCCTGTGCATGTATACTGGGACAAGGACAGTAGTCCGATTAAATGGCGTAGTCAAGCTATAACCGTAGCTCGACTTAGCTATGCATGTAAATGGACTGAATGAGCGAGGCAAAATAAGCCATTGGGTAGAGAGGTTTTGTATCTGGAATCTGTTTTGGGGTCGATTAATTGCTAATTAGCAATTGATTTTGAAGTTCTTGACCTTGGTCAGCCTCCTTATGAAGTATAGTCAAAATGTGGCTCCTGTTCAAGGGCAGGCATGTAAGTTTGCACACAGAGCTTTAAGGCGGCACTCTGTTTGGCATTGGGGGGGGTGTGAGAGAGGGCACCGTATCACCCTGGGAAGGTGACTTAGGTGACTGTGCAAGTTCAGCTAACTTGTTTTTTCCCCAATTGATCCTTGTTTTTCTTAGTTTTATATACAAGTGTGCATTCCTTCCGTCGCCCCAGGAGGCCCCAAGGGGAATGTGTCAGTCCCCATCACTCATACTATCAGCTCTTCTATTCTGTTTTTCCCATCCATGCAAAAAATAGCATGTGTTGGTTCCTGACTACAATTTTTTCCCCTATTTATGCTATGCATCTAACCCTTTCCCCTAGTATGAGATAGGGAAACATCTACCTTAATGTCTGGATTGGGTTTACCAACTCCCCCCTGTGTTATGTGGTTCTGTTCTCAAGCTGGTTTATAAATCCTGCAAAGTAAAATAATAAAAACTTAACAGTTAACTCAGACAACACTTATGCTCTATTAAGTTCTGTGAAGTGTCAGAGGTAATGATTTTAAGTAACATACAGTTTGTCTTGACCTTATAATTGGTTATTCTTTGTCATTCCACAGACTTGATTTATATCATGATTTTAGTGACAAGTACTAATTCAGAAAAGTGATGTTACCTTGACAAGGTACAGCTTATGTCGCCTGTAAAACACAGAATCGGTAGCATATATCACGAATATGCCAGGTCTGCGGCTTTTTTCTCTATATGGTTCAGTAGCTGCTTCTTATCTGTGTTGATTTTTAGAGAAACTTTTTTCCTGGCTTTTATATTATTACATTTTGTTTTCCTTTGTCTGGGCTTCTACTTGACTTAACTTTTGCAAGTAACTGGAAAACGTAGTGTAAAGGATTTCTGAAAATATAGCATAATACCTGTGATAGTTAAGGTTATTCAGTAATATTAGGCAGGAACATTGCATAGCGTACTGTACATATTTAAGTATGTTGTGTGAAACTTGAGGATATAGCTGACAGATAAAAAGCTTAATTAGCTTGAAGTGTTATTGAAAAAAATTAACTTGTTTTCTACTAGAAAGGTGTTATTATATTAAATATCTGATAGACATTTATTACATCCATTGTTAAATGTTCTTTTGCCATTTTACTGAAGGTGGCTGACATTCCGGAAGAGCAACTCCTGGTAGCTGTATTTCCTGGTTTGCCAACCGCAGCGGAACTGTTCATTCTACCGCGCAAAAACTATTCTGAAGGAAGGAAAAAAAGTGAAGAGGACCTGGAACACGTGAGCCACAATTTATGACCTTTGCTACCAGCCAGCAATTTTTTTGCAAATGTAAAGGACTTTTTTCTGTCTTTATTGCTATGATATGTACTTTGTTTCCTCAACAGATATCAGCAATTCTAGTCAGTGCACTTAATCAGAATTTGGTCGAGTTTGAACTGAAGCCTGGCGTTCGAGTCATTGTTTACATCACACAGTTAACTTTAGGTAAGACACTAATTATTTTAATTGTCATTTATATCAATACCCATAAGTGTGTTTTTTCAGTATTCAATGTGTTTTTCTGTTTATTTGGTAATTATCAATTCTGAGGATGTTTTACTACAAAACCTGTTTTTTTAGCCTTCAGTTAAATTTAGTAAAATTATGCAATTGGCTACAAAGTACTGGAACATTGCTTTCTCCTCCTGTGCACAATTAGCTGATGCAAATATGAACTATACTGTAGTACAATAAAAAGTGCATCATTTTATTTATTTAATAAGATTTTTTGCTTTTTGTTTTTCCCCATTCTATTCTACTGAGCAACATTATGATATCTAACGGTACTTTATGTGTGTGAGATATACAGTAGATTTACAATATGTGAAACATTATTGAACCATTATTGGCTGATCCCCACTTTTAACATTATGGTTTAGGGCAATGTGTGTACTTGGTAAAATAAAGAAATTGCATTAAAATAGATTTAAGATTTAGGTTCGGATATACAGTACAGAAGTTGCTACACCAAGATTTATGGGTGGTCATAGTCTGTGTTGGCTGAATAGCAGCAGCACCAGAAGTTTGTCTGGTCCAGTTCCAATGCCTTATATCAGGGGCGTCAAATTCCAGTCCTGGGGGGCTGGAGCCCTGTGTAGCTTAGTTCTTTCCCTATTCCACCACCAATGATTCAGCTCAAGAGCTGTGTGGTAATTAGCACAAGGTGCAAGGAGTTGAATCGGGTGTGTTAAATGAGGGGAAACCCAAAAATGTGCAGGGCTCCGGGCCCCCAGGACTGGAGTTTGATACCCCTGCACTACATGATCCTCTTCGTATGAGGCATGGTGATCTAAGCCCCAGACTAGCTTAGTTATGTGACTTTTAGATATGCGATTTGAATCTGGTACACGTTTTGTCAAATTCAGCAAATTTCTAATTGCTTTCTATGGGTGTGCACTGAAACAAACCCGCTGTTTCTATGCAGCCCCAGCTCTGTAAACAAGAAAAAAAAAACAAAGTGGCTCTGAATGAGCCACACAACATGGTTCCAGCCAATCAGCAACAGGGGGCATTCCCAGGGGGGAAGACTGGGAAAGCTGATTGGTTGGTCTTTCCTCTCCCCTTCTCCCCTCCCCATGTCCTATGCACATGCATGAATGCCCCCTACCTTTGTCGAATAACCTACCTTTAATGCACAATATGTAATGCACAATACCCTGCTTTGGAAAGAGATTTTCCCAAAGAAACCTACGTAACCAGACAGATAAGACAAATAAATAACAAAAGTTGCATCAATTTATAGAGCAGAGCATTTCAGCTGATGTATCATAACCTTGTTCAAAAAGCAAGTCCCCCTTTGGACCGTTATGCCAAAAATCCTGGTCACAACCCATTATGCTACCTGCCTCCAACCCACCAGCCAATTATCCAGCATCTGGCTAAATGAGAAGATAACATCGACAGCTTAATGTTAAAATCAAATAGTAAGCAGTACCATGAGACGACAAACACTGAATGCCGCACAGCCGACATAAATGGGTTTTATGGCTTGATGTGAATTTAAAGATATGAAAGGCCAGAGTCCATCAGGGCAGTGTGATGTCGTTTAAGAAAAAGCAATAAGACCTAAAAGCTGTCATGTGGTCGGAAAGTAGGAGTTTGGTGTCAACAGTCACTTTGTGATTCTTGGGGTCAGTGTGCTGGTCTCAGAGGTAATGGGAAAGGCCTGCAAAGGAGGTGACTTGAGTAGGTAGAGAAGATTGGATTTTGAGGGGTTTATTTTCAGTGGGTGGGCAGTTGTCTAGTTCTGGGTGGTTGTGAGGCACTCAAAGATACAAGGAGAGGCAGAAATAAGAAGTTGGTAGGGAGAGACAAGTCTTGCCGTTATCATTGCATTTCAGAGAGAAGCCACAACGACGGAACCTGCAAAATGCAAGTATGAATACAACTGGCACGTGGCCGAGTCATTATCACTATCGTGACAGTGGTTAGAAATGCCTGCCCCCGGGGGGGTCTTTATGAATCTATCATAGAGCAGTTTTAAATGTGGAGAGACAAGCAATTCACAGGCGTGCCTGTGATACCTTGACATGAAAGTGTAGCAGGTGAGCTTAACAGGTATCCGCTGTTTCTTCAAGTCATTCTGACCATAAGGTCATACAAAATCTTAAAGCAATATAAGTGTAATTGCATCGTTATAAATAAATACGGAAGGAAAATATTCACCATTCATTGCAGTATCTGTACGTATCTGTGTATATATACTGTATATAATATATATATATATAGTACATATGTATATATATATATTGCATCCACACACACACACATACACACGCACTGTTTCTAAGCAATCTAGATATATTAATAAAGAATGTGTCACCCCTCTGTTTGGCAAGCTTCAGAACACATGCAGTCAGTAGTCAATATAATTGCATAGTGCCTTCAGTTGGCAGTTCCTTAAATAGACAGGGGGTCAACCACGAGTATTATCTTCTGAAATATGTGCTTCTGGACCTGACTGATTTATTGCCAATTTTTTTTTTCCCCCTGCCCACAGCAGGAAGGACTTTAATGTTTTAGAAAGGTCACTGCCGTCACATGTTGTCTTGTGGGGACGCTTGTAGCGGGTTCCATTCACCTCATTAACCCACAATTCCAGAACATGATATGTTCGCTAACAAAAACTATGCATGATTGTGGTTTTTTGGTGATATAGTATGTTTAAATATATTTTGCCACTATATTAATTAGCATGATGGAAAATCCTGTCAATCATTTTAAATTACTGCATTAACTGAATTTGTTCTAGTTATTACTAGTGCTATTTATATTAGCATTTTGGACCGTAATTAGCCATTATTTTATGTATCCAGGGCATTGTATCCTCTTTTGAAACAAAATATTTACGTTTACCTTTTTTGCCCACCAGTCATGTTGATTTTATTAAAACAAAACTTTGCGAAAACCTTATAACTTCTGTTTCAACTAGGGCAAGTGAGAAATGTTACTTCTCAGCTGGAGCAATTGTAACTTTAAAATGAAAAAACATCTCCATTTGTGAAAATGCTACACGTTTGCCATCCTACTCATGGGTTCAGCTAAGCAGATTATTTGCAGATATGTTATATTTTGCTATGTCGGCTGAATAAATTATTTCCGAACACGAATGATATATAAATATATGATTAATAGTTGGTTACAATATTTTCTTGCATTCTTTGAATAACATTAAGTATAACATATAGAAAAGCATAAGCAAATGATGCATGACGAGAATTCAGGAGCAGATTATTTCCAGATGTAGTGTTTTTTGCTCTATAGCATTGCAATTAGATTTCTATTCATGCAAATTTTTATTTTCAGCTCCCCTGGTTGATTCCAGCCAGAGAAACAGCAGCTCTGCTATGCTGATGCTTCTATCAGTTGTGTTCCTGGGTTTAGCTGTTTTTTTAATCTACAAGTTCAAAAGGTAAAATCATTTCCGTTGTCATGACAGTAGCATACAGCTCACTCTCTAGTCCTACTCTGCAAAATGCATAATACTCTACTTGTTTCTTTTTCTGTCCTGCTCCTGGTTTGGCAAACAGAGACTATATCAGTCTACAAAGTGTGAATTGTATATAAACTCCTTTGACTAAATGTACCATTCTAGGCTAGAAGGACAAAACTGTGCATAAACTACACTAGTCAGCATGATCGACATCTGGCAAAGTATATTTAATATAAATATTGTCATGAATCACATAAACCTTTTACAGTGTTTCTATTCATTTTATTCTTTGCATCATTTGTGTTTTTCTATTTTTTGTAAGAAAAATTCCATGGATAAACATATATGCTGAGGTTAACCACGAGAAAGAGCAGGAGATGATTGGCTCTGTCAGCCAAAGTGACAGCACACCGAAAATAACACTTAGCGAGTTCTCCACTCCCAAGGAGCTGAAAGAGAAAGAACTGGATGCAAGGATTAAAGGTAAGTGCTATATGTGAGATGTGAAGGAACTGCACAGAAAAACACTCAGTGAGAGAAAAGGAAGCATTACTGAAATAAAAGTTTCAATAAAAAAGTCTGTTGAGCCAAGGGCGTAACTTTGGCTGGAACATTGGGGGGGTTGAGGTCTCCACCCATTACGGGGGAAGCATGATTATTGGGGGGGTTATATTAGCTGGTTTTGATTTATTGGGGGGGCTACAACCCCCCTATCCCCCCGTAATTTACGTCCATGTGTTGAGCTGTAGGTAGAAAGGAGTGGAGATTTTATGATGAAAGAAATGGATAATTTTCCTCTTCATCATGTATCACTACACATAAAATTACTAAAATAAATATCTGTAAATGCCTTTGCCAATGCTTGATTAGCATATATTGCTCAAAAGTACAATTAGGCTAAGCGCAGTAGGTTGCTTATTGCTTTAACACTTTTGGGTGGGAATTCATGTTTGTTTTTGATCATATATCTTGGAAAACTGAAAACATAATGTCCATGCTGTAAACTAGACACATGCGCATATCTGGAGTGTTTCCTGTTTTTATTAACCGTAACCCTGTAGAATAAATGCTAATCATATTTAATAACTGATTATAAGTTGACATGGTGAATTTAAACAATAAAAGAGTAGTTTCTTTTTACAGTAAAAAAAGAGTGCAATTTAGAAAACCCGGGGACCTTGCCTAGGAAAAGTGATTGGCGGATGGATGGATGGAAGGATGGATGGAAGGATGGATGGAAGGATGGATGGATGGTTGGAATTTAAATTTAAAGAATGTGATCTGACATTCAAAAGGCTGCATAATTTTATACATGCAGTGTTTCTTACCAGAAGTCATGACCCGGTTACTCAAGATAATACAGACCTTGTAGTGAGCATTTCCATCTAGGACCTATTTTCTTTCTACCGAAGATGATAACATCTAATGTATAGGCAGATTGATGGCAACTTTCAACCAACTTGCACCTGTTTCAAAACGATAAAGGTCTAATGTACTTCATTCTGTTTTTATGTTTGTCTTTTTTGCCAGGAGGAATTGGGATTGTCAGTGAGAGCACAAGGGAGATTCCAAACTGCACTAGTGTTTAAAAGAAAAAAAAAAAGTTACACATTGTACAGCAGTAGTGGAAATTTGGGGGAGGGGGGTACTTATTTTGTAATTCTGAAGGTTCATGTTAATAGTTTTGTAAGGACCTCATTTATACAGATTTGCATGGATGTCTTGTTTTATAAGATTTATGCGGTCAATCTAAATCTGCTTAACAAGGCATTTTAAGAAAGTTTCCCATTCATGTTTATGTAAAAGTTTGCAGAAGCTGTACACATGGAAATTGTTCGAGTATTTACTCCAGTTGTTCCATCACTGTTGGATTTTTTTTAATTATTTAAAAATATTGGATACTCATGATGGTAATAATCATTACTGTGTTTATTTATATTAATAGAAATGTGGTTATGTTGCTGTCCCACTGCAGCTGGTATTGGTTGTTACTCATGAAAACACACAAATTTAATTAACGTGGAAATTATTTGTTTCCGCTAAAATATACACGTTTTCCCATGTGATGGTGTTATGGGTTTATTGCAGTCTACTGTAGAATAATATATTTTTTTTTTTAACATTTCCAAATTTGCAAATATATTAAATATATAATTTTCACACTTTTGTATTGGATAAGATATTTTTTCTTATTTAATAACAGTAAGAAAACAAAATGAACAGGTAAGGTAGCTAATAATGGGAGAGGATTTGTTGCTGTAGTACAAATCCTAGAAAAGGTTTAGCTTTTGTACCCGTGAAGAAGATAGTTTACCTGAATTGTTAAAACATCGTATTTGACTATAAAAATATGTGACTTTGAAGGGAAAAAGGTGTTGACTGAAATAATAATAATAATAAAATCATCAGTAGCTACATAATAAAATCCTAATATTCTTTGACATTATTAAAATTATGTCTTTTTTTTGCAATTGGTACAATGAAATAATTTATCGTTTATTTGAATGACATTTGTTTATTTATTTTGTCAAAAAAAAGTTTTGTCTTAGTCCCGTTTCATAGGCCCTGATATATTATCAATGTTGACAATGTTTATAAACAGGTTGTCCTGTGGTGTAGCCCAGCCCTGGCTGCCTGGGGCGGGTCCCAGTATGTCCCTGCCCCCCTGCCCCCACCTCCCATGCCCCTGATCAGGGCTGAATTTCCCAAAAGCATAGAACTGTGCAACTGGATGGGTCCAACCATATAAGTTGTTGACGGGAGCTTTTGGGAAACACAGCCCAGAATGAATAGGTAGAGGATGGATGGATGGAAAGTGTGAACCGAAATCTATATTGAACAGCGCAAGTAGCACAGCTGCCACAAAGCTAGTTTAAATTCAAGAATAAATTTTTATATCAGTATCAACTAAGATATTGATATAGAGTATATTTTTAAAGTATATTTTATTAGAAAGAATTGTTTCTCCCCTATACCACAAAAATAACAGAAATAATAGTTATACCGCCACTTTAAAAGTATATGCTTATATTGACTTCAGACTAGAATGTATTTCAGTCCATGTATAGATGAAGTTGCATTTTATTATTATTATTATTATTATTATTATTATTGATGTCTTTAAATGCAATTGTAATATATGAAAGTTTGATTACAAGGATTTTATTGTGTCAGATAAAATCTGCTGTTCTCTGTATATAATGTAAGTACACGTGATCTCCAAGGGAAAAAAAACACATTTATATGTGACCAAAATAAAAGTATTAAGAAAAAAGAACAATCGAATTATATTTATTCTCCTTTTAATGTGGTCCTGGCTTGTGCATGTTAATGCTGACAATGCAATTTATATAGCATTTGCTATATATCTTTTTTTTTATCGTTTTTCATTTTATTTTGAAGCTGGCCAATATGATTCACTTCTTTTTGTGTAGCCTGAATTCTTCCAGTTAAAAATAAGTTTCGTTATTAACAAAGGCAATTCAAACTGAACTGTAGATTTTGTAATATCTAGCATATTTTGTTTTTCATTTGCAATGACATTGTATCATGTCTAAATCTGTGCAATATTTATTCAATCTACATGCTCCACTTGGTTTTTAAATTTTGCATTTTTATATTTTTTATTTTTGCAAAAGTGGTTCACTTATTTGCACTCTATTTTAAATGGCAAATGGTAAAAAACATTTACCTCAATGTACACATTATAACTGAAACTGCAAAATGTTCATGCATATTAGCCACCTAGCCTGCAAAACAAATTTAGGCAATAAGCATCATTATTATACATTAACTGAAATCATGCCATAGGTGGTTCTCATGTATTTAATACTGTCCGCCTTCATGGATTTTTACACCATATAGAATTTTTTTTAAAAATCAGAACATTTCAATACACCAATGAAAGAAATGATGAATGAAATTGAAATGTCCCATCACCTACCAAATATACAGTAGAAATAGAAAAAGTTTCAACTTAGACATTGCTTGCCTACAGGAGATGCCCTGACTTTATATGCATGTAAATCATGTTTACATATCTGACAACAAATTTCAAGTAATTTTTTCCAAAACTATTCCAAGTTTAAATCCTCTTCCTTACCCAATTTTGATTTAGAATAGAATAGAATTTTCATTTACAGTCAGAAAATAGGTTACAGCCCAGGTACAGGTTAGTTCCCCAAGGTACAAACAACGTTAATGTACCCCCCGGGATAAGAGGATCCAACCAAAATGAAGGAGACATATTAATTAAGGTAACGTCATGTCATGCTAAGGATCATGTATATAAATTTGTAGTCACATGTTATTTTCACCACCATGGTCAGTTGATGATCTGAGTGCCACCAGTAACAACGATTTGCCCATTTGGGGAGGTACAGGCCATGGAAGTGTTACATGGAAGTGTAAGACATGGTACAGTAGGTAGTGCTACCTGTGGATAAGAGTATATTTTCCTTGAGAGGTCCATTCATTGATTGAAAATGTCAAGATCACTGCAAACCTCAGTGTACATCATAAGGTGGTAGTTTCATCAGTTTGTCAAAAACCTCACAAAGATTGATACAGTGGTTGGCTTTGAAGAGCACAGGGCCTTTGTTACGCCTGTAAATGCATTTTCCCAAGTAATGTGCTGTGAAGAACAGAAGCATTGGTCTACTCAGCAATGGAGAAAAATCACAAGTTATCCTAGACCATTTCCTCAACATGTGGAAGAGTACCTGTGTGAGCACATGAAAAAGAAGCCAACAAATTCAAGTAAGTGTTCTGCTGGGTCTTTTGTGGTATAGGATGCTTCTTCTTTGCTTTTTACACTCAACAACTAAAGGGTAAGGAAAATGGCAAAAAACAAAAATCATTCTGAACGATCAGTCATCCTGCGGTAAAGCATTTCTATGCTGATGACAGTAAAATCTTGCAGAATTATGATGCCTTCACAAGTCCTAAGTGGCCACTGAATGATTGATGAACATAAAAACAACATAAATCACACTCCGCCATCACCATACCAGTTACCTGATCTCAAATCAATTGAATGGCTGTGGGAAATTCTGGACCACTGCCTACGACAATGTTTTTTCATGACCATCCCCTTTTCCGGGTTATACAGACTCATAGAAGCGTAGCCAGGGTGCAATGAAACTGTACAAGGATTCTTGCGATGGCCCAAAGACTTATTAAAACACTTTATATCGATACAGTTAACTGTCCATAATAATTCCTATAATGTTATACACTGAAAATACTACAATATACTGTATGATAAACAACTTTGAATCAGGGAATAATGAGTCAATTTAAACACTCTTTAGAAATATAGGTGAATTCCTAAATATTTTAATTGCCATTAATTGCGTATACTATACCATTTTTTGAAAGATAGCCATGCAGCTTCCGCAGATCATTATATATAACGGACAGGAATTAACCAATGCAGCCTCTGACAAAAAATGCCAGCATGCCGACTGATGCTGTAAGTTCACTGAAGACTTAACTAGCACAAAGAGTGAAAGACAACAGAATAAAAGAGAACCTAATAATAATGCGTAATGCCCTTTGCTAAAAAAAAAAAAAAAAACACGCTAAATTAACTAAAAATAAAGAAAATCATTGCGCAATACAAATTTTGGTTTCGGTGCATACGTACGGAGCGACACACTTCAGTAGTCTTTATGCTTGTCCCACAGTCGTTTACCTCATGACCTCTTGTGTTATATTGAATATTTTAATTCATCAGGTAGTCTGTCATAAAAATGTGTGTGTATAAAAGGATTAAAGTAAGTGTAAGAAATGTGGTACAACTGAGTGTTTTTCAAAAGTAACATTTAATTCTTTAGAATGTCCAACTATACATTTGTAAACATACTTTATTGATGTGAACTCTTGCTGCAGCTCTAAGGGCAAACTTGAAACATACAGCGTACCTTCATACCGCGTCATCATGATTGCATCATCGGCCTAACAACTGAGCAATGCGTCACAGGGAGAAGTCATTCGAGCAGCAGAAGAAATTCGGCATGACAACACCTACATTGCTGGATACAATAGCTTTTATCGTATACACATGTTATGGACCAAATGTATAGGTATGGAGTTACTATTTAACAACTAGAAAAGGGTCAACATTCCAAAGCTCATTAAAACATTACACACACAATACTCTCTGCTAGGATCAGTGATTAAACTTTTGCTCGTAAATTTGCTTATGGAAAAAACCATAAACCCATTACAATCCTGGCATGCTAATGCATTAAGGTCTCTGGCCTTGTATACTCCCTGAAGTATGACACAGAAACATTTATACATGATTGCTGTAATTTTATGAGGAGGATCTACATCCGTCATTCATCTTAATCAGTCGAGATGATGATCAGGTCAGGTCAGGGTAGCTTGGAGAGCATGCCCTGATACAGTGCGTTGCTGCACCCACAACATGACAAAACGCTTCAGGATCCCATTTGGCGACCCCCCCCCAGGCCGACACACAGTTCACTCCCACTGCCCAGAAGAGCCCATCTATCTGCTGCAGCCAGGTGTTATGTGGGCATTCCCTTGGCCTGGTCCAGCCACTCAGATCTTCAACAATGAGGATCCTCCGAGCCAGATCACCCTCGGGGAATCGCACCATAGTGCCGTAACAGACATTCCCTCACAATGCAGGTAATTTACCTCATTTGGACCTCCGAATGAGCTGCTGTTTTGTCGCTAAATGACATCACTCCATTGCACTTCTACAAAGTAGCACAGAAGGATATCAGTATATATCATTTCTATAATATGTTTTTCTTTCAAATGTGCTAATACAAAGCAAATAATTTCATGTGTGTATGTATGATATTATTCTTAGCACACATATTCCAGTTGGGATCAATAAAGTAGTTATTACATTATTGGTTGCTAAACGCTGCCATGCAAAAGGAAAGCAATGGTTTCCTTTCTGTTCTGCACATGCTTCTTGTGCACTTTCCTTATGCTCTCCGCCTTCTTGGAGCACATAAGAGCCCCTTTGCTGCCCACCAGTCTAGCTGTGTTCTGCCTAAAGCCACCTCACCTGTCCATCCACCAGCCTAACTACCTACCGCTCTGCCTACTTCCCTGCTTGCCCAACAACACGCCTGCCTACTTCTGCTGTCCCTCTGCCTTAATTTGCCTAGCGTTAAATTATGTGAACTTGTGCTGTTCGGTGATCGGCCAAAGATGGATGGGCTTCTGCCCTGAGTCTGGTTCCTCCCACGGTTTCTTCCTGTCTCTGAAATAATTTTTTCTTGCCACTGTCGCTTCAGGCTTTACTCTCCAGGGACCTCAGGCCCGAGATCCTTCTTTGTGACAATGCTCCTTATTGAAAGTGCTACCAAAATATAATTGAATTTTTTCTGACTCTATACATAGATTGATACGTCTCCCTAATACATACATACACACACACACACACACACACAGATTTCCCCAGAGACAGAGACAATCAAAACATAGATGATCAATCTGCAGGCTGCAGGATTAATTAGCACCTGGACTGATTTCAGAGCATGCTTGAGAAGAAGCAGTAACCCAGTCAGTTAGTTGCTTCTTTTCTGAGTACTGACAGGAAAATTACACTTGATATTACGGGTGCTAAAATGTGAAATAAGCAGAACCTCAACAGTGAAAATGAGGAGATTGCTAATTGTTGTTTGTTTGTTTGTTTGTTTATGAAATCTTTCTGAAGTGATTTGAGAGAGAGGATATTTGCCGCACTTGATGAAATACCCTTGTCAGGAAAGATGGCACCATTGTCATTTCAGGACTCTGCCTGTGGGATTGTTTTCACCAGACTATGAAAGTTCTCTTGTCCGTTAATAGCCTTCCTTCGATTGCAGTTTATTTCACTTGTGTGGTGTGTGGCGTTGGCAGATGGGAGTCCGACATGAAATGGATATGCAGGATGGCAACCTGGCATAAAACAGCCCATTTGTCTTTATTCACTGGGGAAACCTGGAAGCAAGCTCATTATACTGGGAGTCAGATTAATCTCAGCTTCTGTCTTTTCCTCTTAACCCTCTGAGTTTAACAGTGTATTACATATTTTTTAAAATTTTGAGACATATTTCAAGCCTTTTGCAGTGA